TATATATATATATATATAAATATATATATATATATATATATATATATATATATATATATATATATATATATATATGTATATACCATGTATATATATATCTACTATAGCATATTTATATGCGCAATTGCTCACTTTTTTTGCTAGCCTAATTTAAGTGAGCATTTTTAGAAAACGATGAGGGAAAACGAAGAATAATGAATGAAAAGGTTGCTGACCCATACCAAACCCTCAGTCGATGTAGCAGCACTCCACGGCGAGTCAGGCTATTTGTCAGTCGATGTATGTACTGAAGCCCCCAGCAGCAGGCTATTTGACATTAGGTGAATATGACATCATCATGCTCACCTAACTCAGCAGTATAAGATATATACATATATATATATATATATATATATATATATATATATATATATATATATATATATATATATATATATATATGTATATACATGGTATATACTAGGGCCCGGTCTAAAATATGTACAAGTATACATATAAAATATAAGCCCCTATAAAATATATATATATTTAAGTGTATTTAATCATTTGTAAGTATCCGCACACCTCATTAAAAGTCAGTTAACAAAAAAAAATTAAAAACTTTTAGCGGAATCCACAGACGTGACAAATTTACCACAGACGTGACATTATGAATAGTATCGCTTTATGCTGTAACAGCTATAAGTGTCTGTCAGGTAATTTACAAAAATAATAACCATCTTTAATCATCAGTTTTTAATAGTTGACATAAAATAGTACATGGTACAAGTTTTTAAAAAATTTTAAGTATTACTAGTTAATAAATTACCAAATGTTTTTGAATGGTAAGTCTTGTGGAAAACAATGTTGCCCCCTGTTATTGAGGTTCGGCTGGCACAATCTCAACACTACATCACTCTTATCAATGACAGAGATGTCATCTTTCTCTGGAAATGTAAAAAATTCCTGGCCAGATCTTCTCAAAAACTTTATGACAAACTCACCTGCACCTAAGGCTTGAATTAGCCCATAATAGTATTTCACATTTTTTTTTTTGATGTTTGAAACTTGACAATTACAAAATCATTAATTTTAATAGACAAACTGCCCTCCTCATTGTCGCTGTAATCACTGTGGTTACTTAGTCTTGTCAATTTCTTTTCACATTTACCCGGTCCTTAGGATTTTTGAGCCAGACATTTGGATGTTGTTTCTTCAGCTGGCGTTTTTTTCATTTTCAAGAATTGTTGACCTGCTAAACCATTTTAAGGAATTTCTTAAAACAGAGGCACAAAAAATTATTAATGAAACAGAAACAAGTTAAATAACTATTTTACAATAAAAATTTCATGCACAGCTTATTTTAATCTTTAATGAAAATACCAGAGTAACTGAAAAACTAAATATTAATCAAACATTTTTACTTACTAAATAACTAGAGAACATATAAGAAATGCAAAAGTTTGCAATATTTAATATAAGCAAATATAATATTCAATATTATGTTCAATATAACACAATATTCAATATAAGCAAACTTAAGTTTCTAAAAGCTATACATTAAAAGGATACAAGGATGAAGATATGTCAAAAAATCCACAGGGATTAGTACTTCTCCAATACTATAGTGTTTGCATTTTGTATCATTGTCACATCCAGTGCATGTCAGCCTTCTCATATACAATGTTCCTTTTTTAGTGGAACTCCAAACCACCTCAAGAACTTGTAAAGTCCCCTTGAAAGTTGTTAGGTTTTGCGGTTCACATTTCTCATAGAGATTGAAATCTGTGTTGTTAATAGTATAGATGGTTATACTTGGACACTTTTCTTTTATTTCTTCGACCAAATAATTAATATCAGGAATATCTTTCCCTTGTCCAATCAATCTCTCTGCGGTTCTTTTGATACAACCTCCTATTCTATCAGGGGCACCTTTTCCGTGAAATGCCACCTTATAGTTTTAGCTCCAAACTCTTTTTTTAAAAAAGTACCAACCACATAGAACATGGACATGACAGGCAGCTTTTCTTTAAAAGTCATTAATAACAGGCTTTAAATGCGCACAGATTCCAACAAAGTCATTATGCCTGTTATCTGAAATTGTACAGTAAGATTTTACTTTTATTTTGTTTTTAGAAATACTACAATAGTATGCCATAACTGTATGGATTGACACTTAGTTTCTTGATCCGCCAAAGTGGAGTGATTGGATTTCTTTTGAGTATTTACAATTGTAATTTTCTGAAAAGTCACAATGAATGAAAATATCCCTAGGCCCTAAGTTATTTTTTATTTCTGATGTAGCTTTGTACTGGTGTTTTATATTGCATACATGCATCATAAACTTTTCCAGTAAGTTATTAATAAAATGCAAAAACTTTTTTAGCTAATTTTAACTCTTCTTTTACAGTTTTAAAGCAAGTCTTTATTTTATCTTTTATCACAAGTTCAACACTTTTAGACCATTGTGGAAATGTTACTTTTTCATTCATACCATTCTCAAATTCTTTACAAACTATTT